AACTGTGGTCTTAGAACAAAGCCAAGTTCATTGTTAAACAATGTTTTAATGTCTGTTTATGTGGTTTGTCTAAATCACAGAGATACTGAAATGCACGGTGCAGTTATAAGCAGATCCCAAGCAGGAGCACACTTGCATTTTGTTAACCCTTGAGGCGCTGGTGTCCCCAGGCTGCTGGGTTGGAGTCCTGCACAGCCCCAGGTGCCCAGCAGTGAGTGGTGGTGAGGGGGTGGGCACGGCAGCCCCGGCCCCTCGCGGGGTGCTGAGTGAGGGGCCCGTGCTGGCCATGGTGGTGGCCGTGGTGGTGGCCGTGGGGCGGGCACTGCCTCGAGGCCTGTCCCCTGCAGCGCCGCTGGCGCCGGTGGCTCTGCTGGGAGTGATGTATTGTTGTGTTCTTTCCCGTCCCTGCTGCACCTTAATTCCTCCATGCATTGAAAGGTCAGTGAGCTAAACAGTAATAAACTCACAGGGTGATAGAGTGAGGGATAAAAGAGGGAAACAATGGCCACCGAGTGTGAGCTTATATGTCAAAAAATACATATATTACCACTGTATTCAAATCAAGAGTAATTTATAAAGGCAGGTGCTGGTAGGAGCAGCTTTATTGCTGGCCTATAGCAGAATGCTCCTCCGTGCTGAGGGGCCTGCGAGATGCTCTGGCTCCTTCCCAGACAACGTGGGGAGTGTTCAACCTGCAGCCAAGGGGCTGCTGCTGACGAGCCACGTGTCTCACCGGTGACAGAGTTCATCAGTTTTGCAGGCCCCTGCCCCCAGGGACACCAGACACTATTAGTTGTGCTGATCTGCTTCATATAGTTCATAAGGAAAGCTCGGAATTAACACACAGCTTAATTCTTGTTAGAATTAGTTAATCAGCTCGTGGCTTTGCCATTCCGAGGAATGATGGGTCTCACTCAGGGACAGGATAAATGTTGTGTCCCCACACAGGCTCTGTCACCTTTTGCCCGTGGGTGTCTGTGGGCTCCTGCGCTCTGGGTGGGATGCTCTGGACGTGGGAGCAGCGTGTGGATTGGAGATGAGCGCGGTGTGCCACCCCGGTGCCACCAGCCCCCGAGGCACGCTGGCTGCCTGCGGAACACCTGAGTGGCTTTATCGCTGTCCTCATGGAGCTCCCTCCTGCTGTGGCTCCGGCCCCTGGCCGGCTCCTGCAGCCCCAGTGCAGCCCCAATGCAGCCCCAGCTCCTGCTGCTCCACCCTGCGGGCTGCTCACTCACTGAGTCGGGTGTGCAGACAAGGGCTGGGGCTCTGGAGTGTTAATCTGAGTCTAGGTGGATCATCTTGCTTTGGAGAAGCCCTCTCTCTTTGGCCTGATGATGGAAATACATGATGCAGAAATCACTGCAATTGTACCAGATTATGTTGCTGCAGGTTTTGGCTAGGCAGCTGCACTTGGGAGCAGAGTGGGACTGTGATGGCATAGAGGGAGGGAGATGAGTTCCATGGTGAAAGCAGAAATGCAGCTGAGGAATAACAGCTGGAACAGAGCACAGTAAATATGGACTGAGAAAGGGTCCAGAAGCGAAAAGGAAAAACAACAGCAGAAATCAGCTTGAGTGGACTAAAACCAGGATGTTATTGAACATGCTGACAGCAGAGCAGAGGAGGAGAGTGACAAACAGGGGAACGAGTCCCCTAGGAAATCACCCCTGTGCTATGGCACTGCGGGCCAGGAGCTGTGCCGAGGCAGTGGGGCCTGGCAGACGAGGGAATGAGGGGTGGGTGCAATGCTGCCTGGGCCAGGCACCACCACCCCTGCTGCTGTGGGGACTCCCAGGCGTGGCATCACCTTCCTGGCTGCAGCATGGGCGGCCTGAGCCGTGCCAGGGCTGTGCCCAACATCTGTGTGCCACCTCAGCACATGCCAGGACAATGTGTGGTATCATCAGCTTGTGCCTGTGGACCTCTGAACAGGCAACAGAAATAATTTAAAGAGATGATGAGACATTTTTATTATTCCCATGAAATTATATGGAATTATAGTTTTAAATGAAGGTGACAGGTTTAAAATGTGTATTTTAGAGCAAGATTAATGCCTTGTGCTTTCTCGAGTTGGAAAGTTGGTCAGTGAGGGGGTCATGTCCCACTGCGTGTCCTCTTTGACAGTCAGTGCGGAATCCTGAGCTGACCCCCGAGTGCACGGAGCACATTGCTGGTGCCCAGGTCCATGCCTGGCAGCTGTGTGTTGCTGGCACCTCTGGCCCAGCCTACTGAGGCACTGTTCCTGCTGTGTATGAGAGCAGAGAGGTCCTGTGGCACTGCCATCCCCCCGTGGCACTGCCAGACTGCGTCTTATGGGGCTGGATACTGTGCTGGGCAGTGCTGGGCAGGGCTGGGCAGGGCTGTGCCCGTGGCCCCCGGGCAGGCAGTGTCACAGAGGGCTCGTGGCAGGCGGGCAGTGAGCGGGCAGTGAGCGGGCAGCGGCTGGGCAGATGCAGAAGTACTGACTGTGTTTTCTCTTGTTCTCTCTTTTCTGCCCAAGGTTTGAGCATCCGAGGAGCCCAGGAGGAAGACCCTCCCGATCCTCAGCTAATGAGACTAGACAATATGCTTCTGGCAGAAGGAGTCTCAGGTCCGGAGAAAGGTGGGGGATCGGCGGCAGCAGCTGCAGCCGCAGCAGCCTCTGGAGGGTCTTCAGATAACTCTATTGAACACTCAGATTACAGAGCCAAATTGACCCAGATCAGACAAATCTATCACACAGAGCTGGAGAAATATGAACAGGTCAGACATCAGCCTCTCACTTGTTCGTGTACCTGACACTGCTCTCCTCTGCTTGCCAGTGCCCACCACTGCCCACTCTGGAACAAAACCCTTCCTCCCCTTCCCCACGCCTCAGCCCATAGAGAGCCACGGTGGGAGTCTGTCGGGCTCCAAGGAGCTGCTGGCTGGAGCCAGGACACGTCTTGCATGCATGAGTGTTTTCTGTTGTCTGTAACTGCACAAGAGCAGCACCCAAGCCTGTGTTTCTCCCCTTTGCCCAGCGCGTTGAAGGCACAGATGAGATGTCTGTCGCTCAGTGCCACGCTCTGCCCTGATGAGGTCCCACACCGCTGGGTCTGGCAAGCTGGGGAGCACAGGCAGACAAGGGCTGCACTAGCCATCTCAGCCCACAGGCTCCTGGAGCAGGTGGCAGGAGACTGGCACCAGGCTTGGCCACGGCAGGTCAGCTGGAGCAGCTTGGGAGAGAGTGGGCAGTGAGGCGTCAGCAGAGCACCTGGCCCAGGCTGGGCACAGGAACCAGGGAAATCCTGCTTCAGCAGATGCCAGCACAGTGTCTTTGTTCGGAGCGAAGAGCATGCTGCAGAGACCCGTAGGTTTGTGTTCACCACCAGGACCTGGTGACCCAGCACACTGCCATGCTGGTGGCACTGGGAACGTGTGCCACATGCTGCCGAGTGCCAGCAGCGCCGCGTGTGCCGGTGGCACTGCCTGGTCTGCGCTGTCTCTTTCACTGCAGTGTTCAAGTGGAGAGCAGCTAACTGAGCAAACACCTGTCAGGGTCTGTGGAAATCTGCTGCTCTCCCCTGACCCGCAGGGCCCGGCGGTCCTGGCTGGAGCCCCGGGCCCTGCTCGCCCCCGGGCGCAGCCGCAGCGTGGGGTGGGGGTGGCTGTGGCAGGAACGTGCCTCGGACGGGCACAGCACACGGCTGCAGCAGATCTGGCCAGAGAGGCGGTGGCTCGGCGCTCGCAGCCGCTTCCTGGCAAACATCCTTGGACTCTAATAAGCTTAATGACGTGGGGGAAGCAGGAGCATTTTTTGCCCTGTAGCTCCATTTACAAAGGTTTCGGCTGAAATGTCACAGCCATTCGTCCACACCACAGGAAATTTTGGAGGATGCTCAAATGCTGCTGGAGCAGGAGAGAGAGGTAGAGCTGAGGATGAGACATGCATGCTTCCCCACGGATCCTGACACCCAGCCACGTCTGCTCGACAGACATATGATGATTTCCCCAGCCTGGCAGCAAACTGTCTCCTGCTGGTTTGTCTCACTGCAGTGCCCGAGAGGCAGCCAGGGCTTGGCATCCCAGCCCCTGGCGCCACAGGTTCTGGGAGGCAGGAGCCCTCCTGCAGCAGGGAGCCCGTGCCAGGCACCTGCCCGCACGGCAGAGCCGCTCCTGCCACCCTGCCTGCGCGGGCACTCCCGCCGTCCCACGGCAGCAGGAGCCAGAGCGCCTTCCCGGAGACGCTTTCCAGGCAGAGTTTGATCCTGATATTTGTTGCCAGTCAGGGGAATGCACTCAGGAAAAAAAAAAAAAGGGAAAGAGAAATGGAAAGTGTGTCACGCCATCACCCAGCGCTCCCTCGCCGGGCGCCGGGAGAAATGGCCACGCACAGGCAGCGCCTTCCATAATTTACAGCTCCTATAACAGAGATGACATATTGAAAGCTATCTGCTGTAATTACACTGAAATACATTTTTTGCTGTAGGCAAAAGTACTGTAAGGGTCCCAGGCCTCCTGGAGCAGCTGGGAACCCACTTCCCAAGTTCACAGATGTCTCCTGAATTCACCCCGAATTGGGGTGAGGTGTGGCAGCTCAGAAGCCGCCACCAGCCTCACTGAGCACTGGCTGCCACCCTGCCCCTCCGCGTTGTTTTGGGCCATTTCCTCTCTTTTTCCTGTGCACTTGTGATGAGGCACTGAGGCAGCAGGAGCATCCCTGCTCCTACAAGGTTTCTGAGCAGGTTAACAAGGCCATCACTTATAACCTGACATTATTAATAATGTCTTGGGCACCAAGCAGAAGCCTGAAAAATAGTCCTGGAAAAGGGATCAAGTAGCTTGGACACTATAAATAAACAAGAGAAACAAGACAAAGCATCAGAGTCTTCTCAGCTTCCTCCCACTGTGCTGTGTGAGGCAGCTCTGCAGCGGGGAGGTGCTGGTGGAGATGAATTAAACCCAGGCTCTGCAAGCAGTTGTAGCCAAACCAAGTCTCATCAGGCAAGTTAAGTAAAGTCAGGGAAAGGTTTTTGCTTCTTGAAAGCAAGAAATTAATTTTTGCTTTTCAAAGTCCAGCTTTTAATACTAAATCTCTTATAGAAAAGACATACCTGAAAATATTTCTAAGACAACAGTTGCCAGTTTTATTGTACTTTAAAATTGAATTCCTGGGATCTGAAAAGAAGGAGGCTTGTGGCAAACCGTGTGCCTGGAACATCCATCCAGTGCCAAATTCTTGGGTTCAGCTGTATTTTGGAACTATCAGAGCTGCTGCCTGATCTCAGGGGGAGAGCTGCTGCATTTTGGTGCCCGTGTCCCTTCCCTTCTGTGCAACATTTCCTGGCTGAGCCAAAGCTGTGTCACTGGTCCTGCCACTGCTCAGAGGGCTGGACCTGAGCTGCCGCATGCTCGGGCTGTGCCCTGATGACACAAAGGATGTGCTGGTGGGAAGTGGGGGTGAGAAATGCCCAACTCTTTCCCCCGGTGCCCAGGGAGTCCTGGCACAGCCCGGGTGGGTGCTGGGATGGGCAGCGGGCTCGGTGCCCTCGGCGGTGGCGAGCGAAGGGTTCTGCACCAGGGCTCGGCAGCGCTGCCTCCAACGGGTGCTGCGAGGATGTAAATTAGCCTGTAATTTACTTTCAGTAGTGTAAAGAAAAAAAATCACTTTGCCTGAAGTGTATGCATCTTTCTTAAGGGTGTACCCAGATTTTAATTATCTAAATGTAAATACTTAACGAATTTTACTTAGAGTAATGAGCTAAAGTGCACACTACATAAATGAGATGTTCTAATTAATCATGTATGAACTACTGGTTTAAAGAAAAGCTATGTGAATTCTGCGAATGTTGGGCTATTGCCAAATTGCTAATCAGCATTTGCATTCATAGATGGCTTCACTTAATAAGTTGTGAGACGTTCAGCAAATGTTATAGGAAATTATGAGTTTTTAGATGCATAAACTTTTCACTTTTAACTCCTTCCATCACATAATCTATTGAAATGTTGGAGAATCCTTGAAAATCTGTTTGTCAGACATATTAGCTACATATTTTGCAGGCTGGCTTCAGAGGGAAGAGGGGAGCTAGCAGAATTTTTGGCAGGATCCAGCCTGCAAAGGGAAGTCAGGAGAGCAGGATGTGTGGAGGGGGTTCCTGGTGATGGTCAGCCTGAAGTTTGTATCAGCATGCCACAGACTGGGAGTGGTAATCCAGGGCTCCCTGTGCCCTCCCTCAGCGCCTCGGCCGCACAGCGTGGCCAGGCTGGGGCACAGGGTCACTGACCCCCCGGGACAGGGACACACGGTGCCTCAGAACGGTCTCAGGTCCCTGGGTGCTGCAGGGGGCACCCAGGGCTCAGGGTATTGCCTCCCTGGCTGTGGGGTGTGCGGGGCCCCCTCACACCCTGCCCCTGCCAGCAGCTGGCACTGGGGTTGATCCGACTGCCCCTCTCTGCGGGGTCTGTCTGGGAATGGGGACAGGGATGAGCACAGCGGGAGCAGGGCCCTGGTCACTGGGCTCCCCTGGCTGCCCCAGCACAGCTGCAGCTCTCCTAGACAGGGTGGCCTCATGTGGAGGGTACAGGGACATGTGAGGGGTCCCCCAGCCCCCAGTGCTGCCTTCCCCCAACAGCTTGTGTCCTTGTGGGACAGCACAAACCCATGTCTGAGCCTCTTCTTCCTCCACAGGCATGTAATGAATTTACCACTCATGTAATGAACCTCCTCAGAGAACAGAGCCGGACACGTCCCATTTCTCCCAAGGAGATCGAAAGGATGGTGGGCATCATTCATCGAAAATTCAGCTCCATCCAGATGCAGCTCAAACAAAGCACTTGTGAAGCAGTAATGATTTTAAGATCAAGGTTCCTTGATGCCAGGTAAGGCAGAGGCAAGTGCCCCTGTCTCTTTTTGGGGGGAAGCAGTAATTTCTGGGCAGCCCAGGAGAGCCTGGTCATACTGGGAGTGGTGTCCCATGTCACCGGGGATGGGTGGGAGAGGCTGCTCTTCCCAACAAAAGCCTTCATCCACAGCTGCTGTGGAAGGGACCCCCTGTAGAGTAGGCCATCAGAAGCAACAAAGTCTTTTCTTCAAATTTTAGTGCAAAGACTGGGCTTGTTTTCCCGCCTTGGACACCTGCACCACTGTTGGAGCTCAGTGCCTGTCCACAGCACCCACAGCGCCTGAGTGGGCTGCTCGCTCCACAAGCTGCCAGGAGCAGGCAGACAGGGATTAGGAGGGGGTTTAGGCACAGTCAGAACTGTTTTGAAGCCGGATTAGGTGGGATAGCGACCCCCTGCCCCATCCCTTTCACAGGGCTCCTGTCTGCGGGGCAGGCCCTGGCAGCTGGAGGGGCCCGGCAGAGCAGCAGCAGAGCCGGGCGGAACAGGGAGGAGCAGCAGGAGCCTCCCTCCTCCAGCAGCTCAGGCTTCACACCTGAAAGCTGCGAGGAGCTAAACAAGACCAAAATAATGTTATTAACAAGAAGGTCACTGGCAGGTGTGGGAAATCAGGGTAATTGCAGGCAGTTGGAGGAGATGTCTATGGAGAGCTCCAGGAACGCAAAGGTAGAGCCTGCAGATGTACGTTTTAAAGTGATTTCTTTAAAAAGGAGGAAGGTAAGTAAGGCAAAATGAGCGGAAGCATAGTAATGAGATAAACAGAGCTCCAGGGAGGCAGCCTGCCTGCTCCAGGATGCAGTGCAGTTAGCAGCACCGTGATACTCGGCAAGAGCGCCGGGATTGCGCTCGGCTGCCGGCTGGCCTGCGGCGCTGGCGGCGATTGCAGCGGCCCTGGGGGAAGGAGCTCCAAGGAAATGCTCAGCTGGAGCCTGAGAGGATGTTCTGCTAAAGGAGAGCAGCACGGAGGGATGGCACTGCAGCTGGGCAGGCGCTGCCGCCGTGACCCCGCGCGGCTGCCCCACGGCCAGGGCTGGAGGCTGCCCCACGGCCAGGGCTGGAGGCTGCCCCACGGCCAGGGCTGGAGGCTGCCCCACAGCCAGGGCTGGAGGCTGCCCCACGGCCAGGGCTGGAGGCTGCCGGGCCGGAGCACGTGTGGCTGCTCTCTGCAGGGCTCTGTGCTCTGAGCTCCAGCCAGGTGACACCCCCGGGCCTGTCCCACGTCCCATGTGGGCCAGAGCCTGCGCCCCGAGCAGCCCATGGCAGCCGGGGGCACAGATGGGTCTCGCTCACAAAGCCCTGAAATCCACTTGCTGCTGGAAGCCAATTAGCTCAGGGAGGCCATGCGAGGACACTCAGCACGGCCGCCCCATCCTGTTGTGCCATCCTCACCCTGGGGAGCTGTGCAGGGCCCCAGCTGACCTGTGCTGAAGGGAAGGAGGGGAAGGAGGTCTGCCAGGCTGCTGCTGGCACACATGGCTCCATGGCCAGGAGCTTTGGGCTGGGCTGTGTACCTGGCCGTGGAGGAGCCACAAGGGAGGCTGCTGGCTCAGCACATGCCTCACCTTTTCTGCCACAGCACGTGAACGTGGCCTGTGCTCCCATGGGATGAACCCTGTGGGGAGGTGGGGGTGTGAAGCCAGAGGCAGAGTCCAGAGCCTCCAGGGGCTGTGTGCAGGACGTGGTGTTGCTGCCTGCTGCTCCCTCCCATGGTCTTGGGAGCCCAAAGGGATCAGGGTGACAGGAGAGCTCTGCTATGTTGTTCTTTGCTGCAGCACAGGCTGTGAAACGAAGGCTGCTGCTCCCCATCCAACCCTGCCAGGGACCTGCTGGCAGCTGGAGGAACAGTGGTGTTTTCCTTTTCTCATTTCAGACGGAAAAGGCGTAACTTCAGTAAACAAGCCACAGAAATCTTGAACGAGTATTTTTACTCCCACCTCAGTAACCCCTACCCCAGTGAAGAAGCCAAAGAAGAGCTGGCAAAGAAATGCAGCATCACGGTATCACAGGTAAGCACCCACAGTGTGTCAGTCTCTGGTTCCCCTTGCAATGCCAGCACCTCCTCCGGGCTCTGGGAGTGGTCCCAGTGGGGGCAAGTATGAAGCTGGGCCTGCCCAAAGCACCTCTGTCACCCTTCATATTTGTGTGTTGACCATGAGGAGGTTTGCAGGGCGATGGGGTGTGGCTGAGCTCTGCAGGAAAGGCTGCCTGCCCGTGGTGGCTGGGGCTGTGCTGGGGTACAAAGGCACTGTGCACAAAGAAGAAGATAAAAATAAGAAGCAACAAGGTCTGCACCCCACTTCACATTGCACAGCAGCAAGGTTCCTGGCTGAGCCTTGCTCTGCTCTGAATTCAGTGCAACTGAGCAGGATTATGGGGAAAGGACGGTTTATTGACAAACTTAGGATCTATATTTATAGATCCAAATTTCTTTGATTGCTCAAAGTTGTTTTTCTAAGCCAGTCAGAAATTCAGCCTCTAGCTACGCTGAAATGACACAAATGGCTTCTCTGTGGCAAAACTGCATTAGGCAGATTTGCTCCTTTTAGCACACATAACAGCTGCTAGTGTGCAGTTAATACAGCACCTCCCCAGTCAGGCCTGTGCCATCCTTGGCTGCAGCTGCTTTCCCTGTGGGCCAAAGTACCCGTTCAGCTCACACTGCTGTCCCACAGCAGTGCTCAGGCTGATGACACCATCGAGTTTTCCTCCACCAGGCAGCTCAAAAAGCAAAACACCTCTTGGCATTCCATGTGGCCTGTATGTTTGCTAGAAACCCCGGTTATTCTCACACAAATCTGGCTCGCACAGCCTGGGGAAGAGCTTGAGCTTGTGTGGCAGGGAGGTGCCCTGCAGCCTCCGAGTTCTGCAGCACCCTGCTCCTGTGTGAGGGCCGCTGTGCTGGCTCCTCCCTGCTCCCCCAGCTCCCTTATCAATATTTCAGGTCCTTGAGAGGAGCGGTGCCTGCGGCGCGTGTGTTAACTATTAATGATTGCAGGCTGCACTATTGGCATTATTAGCAATGCAACCTTTAGCTTTATAATTAAGACCTGAGTTGAGATTTACTTTATAGGCCTCCATTGGATGCATGAAAAATTCAGGCACCTTATTGAAGACTTTCAAATGGAAGTCTGCCCAGCTCCTGCAAATTTGGAATTGCTTGACTTTGGCTGCACCCACAGCAGCAGCCCTGGCAGCAGTGCCCCAGGACACGTGTGTGCCTTGCTGTCCCTGTGCCTGTTCTTGGCACGCAGCACACACCCCGCTCCGACTGGGAAGCGCCTGTGCTCCGTGCCAGGGGAAGGTACAGGCTGGGAGGGAGGCAGCTTCTCCCAGTCCATTTACAAATAGCTGTGGTGATGGGCAGGAAGTTTTTGAGGTGCACAGCTTGTTCCCTCTCACATTGCTCCTCCTTCGCCCTTAGCATCACACAGCACTGCAGCCCCGGGGTGGTGCTGCTGCTCTCCCGTGCCCTCGGGCATCCCTGCGGCTGCTGGAACCAGCCTGAGAGCACACGAGTGCCAGGGCACTGTGGTCTGCAGCCTTCATCTCGCTGCTGCTCTCAGTCCTTGGCACGAGAGGGTTTGTGGCAATTCCTTCCGTAAGCCGTGTCCAGAAATCTTCAGCGTGCTCCAAGGCAGTCTGGTGTATGGTTAGGAGAGGCCATGCCATCAACACCAGCTTAAACAAACCAAAAGTTCAGTTTTGGTTAATGTAGTTGGGCGAGATGACATGGGAAAAAGCCCACCAGACCTGCTGAAGAGCTGTTCCCTCTGCACCCAGTGGTGAGTCCTGCCTGGCAGGGAGGGGCTCACTGATTCCTTGGTGTGGACAGATAAAAAGACAGATCAAGATAAGGCTGAAGTGACTGTAGCAAATGAGATGGAACATTTGAGAAACCATAACGGATTGCTTCTTGTGCTAATAGATCTGATTTCTTTCTTAATTGGTTGTTTGATAAGATTTAATGTATAGAATGAAATAAAAGGCAGGCAGATGGTCCAACAACCCAGCAGTGGCAGAGAGCCTGTGACAGGAATATAGGTTTGTCTTTTTAATATTTGATACAGACATGAATTAGTTGTTTCTTGACTCCATTAGGAAGTCTGAGTGAGCGATGGGAGTAGCTGCATTGTGCCCTCCACAGCACTGCATCCAGCAGCCTCAGCCTTGCTGGGTGACACTGCCAGCCTGTCCGAGGGCAGTGCTGCCCACCCAGCCTGGCACCAGGGGTGCAGGGCCGGCCCTTGGCACAGCTGGAACTTCGCTCTGGCAAGATGCTACAAATGACTTGGAAAAACTCGGGTAGATATGGAAAGGCTGGAAATGGGGCCATGTATCATGTAACAGGAGAGGGCATGTATGAGAGAGAGGGAGTGCCTGTGATCAGCTGGTTGCTTGAGTTCCTGATGGATCTGCTGTCACAGCCAGAGAGCATGAACACCATGGGTATTCTAATCTTTGATTTCCAAAGGCACTTCCAGAGGCTGCCTGGCAGTACTGCAGGGTTAGTTGGTATTTTGTAGGCTGAACTGGGCTGGAGGTGTCTTTCTTTTACTGAGAAGGGTGTGTATTTTTGAGGCCATGTAGCAGATGAGCTCTGAGCAGGCACTACAGAGCAGCCCCCCACACGCTGCTCTGGTGACTGACAGCAGAGCTCAGAGGATGCAGTCCAGAACTCCGAGTGAATTGAGCAGTCAGTGAAACCCTGGCAGGAGCAGCATCACAGGGGACAAGCAGTGGCATCCGAGGAGGTGACTGAGCTGCACCTCGCTCAGGGCTTTCATGGAAGATCTCTAAGTGTGTGTATTTTCAGCCTTGACCAGGTGTCCCTTGGACCTTGCCATGCCTGTCACCATGCCCCATTTACCTCCTGTGCTGCAAATACCCTGGAGGGCCAAAGAGCTGGAAAAAGGAATAAATAACATTAAGGGATGGCTTTCCAAACTCTGGAGCTGTTGGCTCGTCTTTGATGAAGAGGCTTTGTCCTTTCCCTGGCTGAGCCAGGCTCCTCTGTAGCCTCTCCTAACAATGATCCCAAGTGTTTCTCTCTTGTACTGTCAGTACCTTGTACACGCTGGGGGCAGATTCATGGCAGAGCATTTTCTCCCTCAAACACTTAATTAGTGAGTGTTTTGGGTCATCCTCCCCCCAGATTAAGCTGCTGACTGGAAATCCTGCTGCCATGGCACTTTACTGAGCTGCAAGGAAAATTGTCTCCCAGAATCGTTTCATTGCAGGTGGGAGATCGATGGTTTCAGTTTTGATATCGGTGTTTAAAATAATATGTAGAGAAGGTTTTTCAAGAAAAGCATAAAGACAAACTATTTATTAAGATGAACACCTCACACAATTTCATTTTTAAGAGTGTGGAAAAGGTAATTCTGGGGAAAAAAATGTCCTTAGCAGAGAACATTGTCAGCTGTAATTTAGAGCCACCCCATCAGCGCATGTTGGAGGGAGATAAACTGTATTGTCTGTTCTCCCCTGCCATGGCTGCGAGGCTGATGTTTTATACTTTTGCAGATGAGCTGCTTTCAGGGTGTCACAAACAACCACCAGTCCATCACACGGGCTGGAGAGAGGGCACAGCCAGTGCTGGGAGCGGGGCAGTGGAGTACAGCAATAACATTTTTCACTGATTCAAACAAAAGAGGGATGTGGTTGACAAGGGAATATATTTAACATTGTTTTAAAGAAAGGATGCAGGAGCTGGTTTCCAGCACCCTCTGGCCCCTGCTGCTTCTGAGTGTTTCTGTGGGCAGGTGAACAGGGAAAAACATAGATGGAGGGGCTCTTACCCCTGGACTCCATGTGGGAAGCAAGGAAAAAAGCTGCAGCATAATGAAATAGTTCTGGAGGTAAAATTCCTGGGTTTAGATCACAGACTGCAATTGTGCAACATTGATTTTTAACATTTTCTGGTTTGTACCATGTTTTAAGTGTGCTACAAACATGGAAACACAGTGGAAAGATCTCCATGATCCATGAATCTGTAGCTCCCTAATTCCAGCAGCGATGCTCTTGCGTCAGCGGCGTCTTTGCCGAATGAGCACTGATTTATCCCAGGAAGTCACCCACTCCGGAGACACAAGGCAGGCCTGCCCCATCCCAAATCCCACATTAGGCATCTTGATGATTTCAGTAATAATTTATTGTCTTTTTATTTAACATTGCAATTAACATGATAAATAAGTGCAACAGTATTGTTTGAAATGTAATATACAATTAAGCCAAATTAATTAATTGGCCTTCAATGATCAGGAGGAGAAAGATGTTCATTGTTTTTTTTATGTGAAGAGATAGTTTGTTTTAATGAAAAATGTGTTGTGAGGCAGCTCACAATGGAAACAACTTCCATGTTTAGGGTGAGCACGGGGCTGGGTGAGGAGCTGGGTCCTGGTGCTGATGGGGGAGCCCAGTGCCTGCACCCCGGTCTGCCCTGGGCCCACGGCAGTGCCAACAGCACCAGCCAGGTGAGCTGTGCTCCAGGTGGGCAGGGATCCTGAATCCTGCCTGGCACAGCCTGCTGGAGCAGTGCCCTGGCCCTGGCCTGGCCAGGTCCAGCTGCCCGTGTCAGCCAAGCTCGCCCAGCTGCAGCTGCAGCCCCGGGGTGTCCCCACATGTCCCTGGGTGTCCCCACATGTCCCTGGGTGCCCCTGGGTGTCCCCACATGTCCCTGGTGTCCCCACGTTCCCCGGGCTGGGGCTGCCCTGCCCTGCACTGTGTGTCACGGGAGCACAAAGGGTCCCTGGGCAGAGGGGACGGGGCAGGGGCAGTGGCACCCCCGGGCTGCCGTGGCTCCTGTGGCAGCTCTGGCACCACGCTCAGTCTGAGGAAGAGTTTAACATTTCTGGATATTCATTTAGATGTGGTGTGCGGGTTAAACATAACGTACGAGCACTGCTCCTCTCATTGCTTCCAATTAAACCTTGCTTGTTAGTTTAACCTCTAGGTAATCCCATCAAACAATTGATGTCAAGGAAACACTGCCCACAGTGGCTCTGGATGAGTGGCCATTAATTTTAATTGCCTTGATATTAAAGATTAAGAAGTATTGGGACTAGCAGAATGGAAACGATCTGATGTCAAGCAAATCCACTCGTTGAGGCTTCCCCAGGCTGCTGGTGATATTAAAATTTTACTGTGAGAATTAAATAAACCTTTATTAGTGATGGCTGTTGTTTGATTGGTCCAGGGGCGTGCATAAACAGAGGGGTCTCGTGCACATCTATGGACAATATGGTTGATGTGCAGAGATTCCTCAATTATGATACTGTTAATAAAGCATAATCTGATTGTACACAATAATTATTTGCTGGGTTTCATTAATGCATTATTGCTTCTCTGACTGACAAGGTGATATTAAGTGCAATATATAGAATATGGTGGAGTATTATCAGGGGAGCAGGATGTATAAGGTGCCTTCCATATTACTGGTAAAGGCCAGAGGTTTTCCATTAATTGTGGTTAAACAAAAGCTGTGCTGCATCAAATACAGCAGGATTTGACTCCTGCCTCAGCAGGATCCTGAACTGGGTGCTGTGACAGGACGCCAGTCCCTGCCACACCCTGTGGATGCCTGGTGACCACTGGGCTGTCAGTGGTGCCTGCCCCTTTACCACTGGAGCTGTTCTTTTATTGTATCTGCCGTGCTGGCCACTGTCCATGTTCCAAACTGGGTTTATTATTTGGGAGCTCTGTTACAGCATCTGAAGTTAAACAAAGCCCCTAAGCAAGACTGCACAAACTTCCCTGAGCGGCTCCAGGCGTGACCCCGTGTGGGTTAATAGCCGGTGCCCTGGGAGCCACCTTGGCTTCACTACAGCACCTTCAAAGGGGCATGACAAAGTGACTTTTCAACCATTATTGATTTATATGATTCCTTTCATTTTCAGCCAACCAAACACGATTCTGTGAGTGGGCTGCCAAGGTTGTTCCAGCCCAAAAATAAAGAACAATTGCTCTCACTGCCCGCTCGCCCTCAGTCAACTGGGCCTTGGTCCCCCCTGAGCAGCTTTCTGGGTCTTGCACCGGTTTTGTTGACAAATGGCCCATGGTGGTAGGGGACAATGCTGTGGTACAGCAAGCTCTGGGATACGTGCAGTCATCAGTCACTTGTTATGCCTCAGTTTGCCAGAGAGCAGCAGAGCCGGGTTAGCTCAGCTCCATGGTGACGTTCAACTGACCCGGGTTAGTGCTCAGTTACCTGGGGCAGGTACGGGTTGTGTTTCTGACATGTCAGAATGACATCTCAAAGGGATCCTGCTTTGCCCAGCCAAGCCCTTTGTCCTTCATCCTTCCCACCTCTCTCCACTGCAGGTGTCCAACTGGTTTGGCAATAAGAGAATCAGGTACAAGAAGAACATCGGGAAGTTCCAGGAGGAAGCCAATCTCTATGCGGCAAAGACGGCCGTGACCGCAGCGCACGCCGTGGCCGCAGCTGTGCAGAACAACCAGACCAACTCCCCCACCACACCAAACTCTGGTACGTACCCGCTGTGGAGGGCCCCGCGGCGCCCAGCGGCTCGCGCGGGACGAGGAGGGAGCAGCTCCTGGCAGTGCCAGTCTCGGCACAGGGAGGAGTCCCGAGCCTGAGGGTGGCCAGGCTGGAGCACGAGGGCCGAGCCCTGCTGTGGTGGCCCAGCTGAACACAGCCAGGCTCCCACCCAGGCTCCCACAGCCGTGGCACAGCGGAGCGGGGCCCGTGGGACGCCCGCAGCGGTAACGGCTGCCTGGCTCTGCCCTCTGGCACCTTTGCTTCTCTAGTTACTTTCAGCTTTTTCTCATTCACTGAAAAGAAAGCAAAATGGGGCCAAGGTCCAAGCCTGCTTTTGTAGAACTGTTAAATTTATTGTTAAGGTAACAACAAAATAGAGGAATATTTTAGCATGTTCTAATAAGAGTTTAAACTCTGGATGGCTTGAAATGGAGTCGATATAAATAGAAATCTAAGGATGGAACTTTAATTTGGAGTTACTCTGTGACATGTTCTGCTACAGGGCTCACTGGTGTGCTGATGACATTTTGCAAGTCTGAGCACTGCATAAGTCAGGGAGTGTGTGAGGGGGCGTTGCTTTTTGGGCTCCAGGGGCAAAGGTTGCCACAAGCACAAACACTCTTTGCAGTCAAGTTTTGCCGTGACTTAGTTGTGGACAACTTTTAAAGAGGATAGAGAACCATGGTGAAAAAAATATTTAACTAAAAGCAAGTAAGAAAAAGGTTCCTTCTTTGACAGTAATAAACCACATAATTAGGAACTGCCAACAATTTCCTTTGGAAGGAGACATGAAGCACAGGCTCAAAATGAGTGTTTGGTGATGGCACCTCATGATGGACAGCTCTGATATGGAAATGTTGTACAGGCTGCTCTTCCAGAGGGAAGAGCTGCCCTGGGTTACAGGGAGCTTCCAGGCTTGCCCAGCACAGCGCTCTGGTGTGGGGCCAAGAGCTGGGATGTGGTGGCCAGTGTGGGGGGCCGGTGGCCACACTCACCCCATGCCAGGGCAGCAACTTCCCCTCCACTGAGCCTTGCCTGTCCTCTCCTCTCCTGCTGCTTCTCCTTCCCCTGCCCTCAGGTGTCGGGGTTATGTTTTTGCAGCTCTCTGTTATTCAGCTACCTAACTCTTTCCTTTCCAGGTTCTTCTGGTTCTTTTAACCTCCCAAATTCTGGGGACATGTTCATGAACATGCAGAGTCTGAATGGGGATTCTTACCAGGGGTCCCAAGTCGGAGCCAATGTGCAGTCACAGGTAGGAGAAATGCCCCCAGCAGGGCCTTTCTGGCAGGGTAGGGTTTGGGCTAAAAATTCCACCTTACTCTGGCTCTATTAACTGGTCTGGGCCTCGCTGCAGAGTGGAGGCTGCATATTTCTGGATGTGGCCGATTCTTACCCCGGCATTGAATTTCACAAATATTAAGGAAAGAATGATTTTTTCCTGATTGAAATTTTAAGCTTTGTGAATGCATTCGGCTCTGGCTTGAGCTCATGGAATGGGACTGGGTGCATCTGACTTCCATGGACACTGTAAATCCAGTGAAATTTTCTTTCTTTTTTTCCTTTCTTCCCTCCTCCCCCTGCTCTTTAAAAAAAAACCCTACTCTTCCATCTCTCTTTCATTTATTGGACAAACTTTTATTTATTAATTCATTCATCTATTTCTGTATTTACTTAAATGTCAGAACGCCTCTGACTGAGCCATTACAATACACCTCATTGCCAGCCACTGTTGCAGCCCTCTCAGAAGGGCTGGCTCCGTGGTTCCTGTGCTGTGTACACACCATCATCTCCTCCACACATGCCAGCACGCACAGGCGGGTGAATATTCCCAGCACTTTGCTGCAGACACTTGGGAAGGAGCTGCGGGCCGCGGTGCTGGGAGGAAGTTGTGTTTGGTGCTGAGAGCAGCAGAGATGTATGGGCTCCACCGGGCACGGATTGGTTGAAATTCTGCCAGTCAGTCTTGATTGATAAATTTGCCTTTCATAGAAGATGCTAAACTCTTTTGGCTCACATAATTCAAAATGTTGCCTATTGTAAGTGATGATGTTTTAATAGATTCGGAATGATGAATCCTGTCTCCCCTCACTTTAAGGTGGATACCCTGCGTCATGTTATCAATCAGACGGGAGGATACAATGATGGCTTGGGAGGAAATTCACTGTACAGTCCACATAATTTAAATGTGAGTACCCGGGGGAACGGTGGTTTGGAGAGCCATAAGCGCAGTGGCAGGTAAATGCAGTCATTAATACCTGTATTAATTGCTCTTGCAAAAGTGTTGTTTAATATCACATCTTTGGGGATGAACCACAGAGCAGCCCTTGGTGCAGCTGTAAGGCTTGTTAGTGTAAGAAGAGAGACATTCCAGATCTGTGACTAAAAATGGTTTGAATTTTTATTGGTTTCAGCCCTATGAGTTAGAAGGTAACAGGCTCTGAGAGGGGCTCAGGCAGGGAGCTGTGCTGGGCTGTGCTGCCTGTGCCAGGCACAGGCTCTGACGGACGTTGATGCACCTCTGGCCATTTCAAGGTGCCCATTTCTCCTGTGTGTGAGAGGTACCTTTGGCCTTGTTACTCCAAACGGCAGCCAGCAGTCAGCCTGGCTAACAGATGCCAGTAAATTGAGGGATTATGGGCTTGATGGTGATAGGTGCTAAATGTCCTCCTGCTGGCCGTAAGAGATGGGATGTGACAGTGCCCGGGCTGGGCAGGCGTGCCCACGGCTGTGCTGGGCGCCAGGATAAATCAGTGTGGAGATGTGTTCCTCCTTCCTTCCCTTCCTTCCCTTCCTTCCCTTCCTTCCCTCCTCCCTTCCTTCCACGGGGAAGGAGCAGCCCGCGGCAGCAGCAAGGCTGCACGGCACAGCTCATCCCTCATCCCCGGCTTGTTTCTCCCACTTACAGCTGCAACAATTAGTGCTTTATATTTTTTTTAATGTTTCGCATTTGCTTGAGAGGTGATTTTTCTTTGTTTTCCTTCATACTCATGGACTCTAAAATTCCTGTAGAGAATTCCTACTCTAGTGACCCTCTCCCCCCATCACAGGGTTCACCCCAGTGGTTCCCAGCTGATGTGATTTGGGGTGCAGGTGCTGAGCAGCCCAGAAACCCATGGAGAAGGGGAATGGGGAGACCCAGGGTGAGCTGCTGCAGCCACAGGGAAGGGGAGGCTTTCCCCCCGTTTTGAGTTGCCACTTGCCATGAGAGTAAATATTAATGATTTAAAATGTGATTGAAGATGTTCAATTGTAAGGGGAAAAAAGTACCATTAAATACTCAAATCTTTTACATTTGAAATGTCAAATCTTTCTTTTTGGATTTATAAATAACTCATAATAACCCACAACAAACCATATAAAAAGCCTTTTAGTTGCATTCCTCCTTTTTCATTTAAGTGTTTTGAAATGCTTCAGAGAATTTGCGATATCCTTATCAACATGATAAAATATGAAACTGTGATTGCCTGCAGCATTTTACAGACATGAATTCCATCTTCACTGATGAGGCCTGATAAGGCGCTGTTGTATAATACAGTGCATAATCTCAAACCACCAGAGTAAGGATTAATTTATTTGAAAAAAAGAATGCTTGCTGACAACCTCTCTTCCAGCTGCCAAGCTGAGTAAAAATATTGTACATTTGTTGTTTATAAATTTGGATAAAAGAGGAATGATGTTTACTTCAGATGGAATATCTTTAGACTCGTATCTGCACAAGAGTTTTTCTTTCTCTAAGTAGACCCTCGTATCTTTACAAAATAAAGCCTCGCGGTGGAGCAGGGTCTATGCCCGGTGTGTCTGAGCAGCGGGCGGCTGTCGGCGGGTGCAGCGGCTCGGTGCTGCCGTGTCACCCGCGGGAAAGCCGAACCGCTGGGCTTGTGAGGATGAGGCTGTTCATCTGCAGAGGAGATCATCGCTGCCCTCCCCGGTGCAGCGCTCCGCGATGGATGAGCGGGGCTGCCAGGGGCGGCGGCCGGGCTGCCAGGGGCGGCGGCCGGGCTGCCCCGGCCCCGAGGCTGGGCGGCCGAGCCCCGGAGCGCCTTTCCCTGCCGGGGCCGAGCCCCAAGCGCCTTTCCCTGCCGGGGCCGAGCCCCACAGTGCATTTCCCTGCCGGGGCCGGGGGCCGAACCCCACAGCACATTTCCCTGCCAGCCCAGCCCAGCCCGTCCCAGCCGGGGCCGGTGTGCCCCGGAGCACATTCCCAGCCCAGCCCGTCCCTGCCGGGGCCGGGGCCGGGGCCGCCGTGGCGGGCGCTGCGCTGAGGCCTCCCCGTCACTTCCACTCAGCGTCCCCCAACTCACGAGCCCCGCGCCTCCCTCTTCTTGACTGACATAAAAATATGTAGCGACAAGCTGTCTGCCACAGCCGAAATCCGATCAGACATTGATTCCAGCAATTGCCTCGATTGGCCGAGACATAAGGCAAATTTGTTCGTGCGCTGCTCGCGCGGCGGCGGGTCTGAGGCGGCTCGGAGCGGGCCGGAGCGGGGCCGCCGTGCCGAGAATCCCTAACCCGATCCTCCCTGCCCTTCCCCTGGAGCCGGGGACATGTGCAGGGAGCCAGGGGGGCAGCCCCGCCGTGGGCCCTGCCGGGGTAAGGCCATTCCCAGCCTGGGGCAGTGAGGGGACCGGGGTTAAACACGGATTGCCCCAGGCGTGCTTCTCAGGGGAAAGGGCTGAGGGAAAGAGCCGGTGAAGGGATGTTCCTCATTAAAACAGGGATGATCTCTGCAGAATCCCGCACTCCGGCACCTGGCCGAAGGGCTCCTGCCTGCCCTGCTGGTGCGCGGCAGTGCGGGACAATCCCCTTCCGAGCGATCAGCCCGCGGTGTAATTAATACGTGCAATGGTATCAATTGACTTGTTTTTGCTTTTGCAGGCTAATGGAGGCTGGCAGGACGCAACCACTCCATCTTCTGTGACTTCCCCTACAGAAGGGCCGGGAAGTGTGCACTCGGATACCTCTAACTAATCTCCTAGCAACACTTTTTCCCTGAGCTGAGATGCCTTGATTAGCGCATTCAGAGTTGCAGGAGAAAAAGGAAAGAGTTTTTTGTAGCCAACCACCTACAGCTTTACTGTAAAACCTTGTCTTATTAGAAAACTTGGTAAATCTGTTTTTTAAAGGTATCATAATCATTTGTATTTATACTTAAAACACACGATGTTAAAAAAGCACTTTATCCAATTAGGCCAAGTTTTAGCATTGTTTATAGCCCTGTAACTATTTTATCATAATTTATTATCAGCAGTTTTAATGATGTTGGTCTAACAGTTGCCAATTACTTGGCCTTAAGGGTAAAAGTACAGGACAAGCTTAACCTCAGTAGCAAGAGCAGACACAAAGAACCGCCTCACCCAAATTTAATTGTGTGCATATTTCCATGGAAAGTCGACAGGAATCGCAGACTTTGATTGTGTTTCATCTTTTCATATCTCTCACAGAGCTGGAATAAAAAGAGCTGTTCAGTTATTTCGGTTAACAATGGTCGTGTTTAAGAATCCTTATTCGTCACGTTTTTGTTGAGATCTATTGTCTTACAAATTAGATTGGAAACCAGGAGCATCTTTTCTTGCTAAAGCCCCCCCGGAGGCCGAGTGTCCCCTGAATCCCGACACGGACGCAGGTTGCTCTTGGGAGATGACGACTCTCGCTGCTGGTCTCTGTGCACGCCACCACCCGGGGTTTTACAGTACGAGCTGGGTGCTACCCACGCCTGCCAAGGGCTGGTGCCTCTGCTTGGCAGCAAACCACAAACAAAGGAAAAGGAAAGGAAAGAGCACCGTGATATGGAGTGTTGTACATAGTGTAGCAAAAGAGTATTTATACATCTCACCAATCAAACACAGCTTTATTACCTCATGCGAACTCATACAAACCAATAGACTTTCAACATGTTCTGTAGCTTAGAGTGCTCACTTACTACCTCTGAACGATACTCACGCTGTAGTTTGTCTCTTTCTTATCTTTTGGCATCTTGTAATTAACTCTTTGTTTCCCCACGAAATGTAATGTACATTGTAATCTCCTACAAATCAGGGTTGCCTTGGCAACTGCTAAAGAAGCGGAAGTGGAAACATGGGGTCTTAGGTTGGACACAAAACAGTGCAACTGTTGTAAATACTGAGAAGCATTTTGAATGTTCTTCATCTTGTTACTAATACACGCAAAAACCAACAACTAATTGTAATGCATACAGACTTCAGTATTCAGTACTGTACATCCCCCTGGATTGCAGGGGCCCTTTCTCTCTCTTTTGTATTGTATGCGATTCTGAAACTGATTGAGTCATGAAAATAATTTGTGGCAGTGATTCTAATGTATTAAACCGTTTCGTGTTACTTTCTAACTGGATTACACCCTGGATTGAAAAGTCTTCCTCGTGGTAGTTATATGTAGTTTCAAACATGAATAAACTTTTTGCTTTCATGATCAAACGTTGACGTAATTTCTTCCTGCTCAGTTCAAGTCAGCCTGAGGAGATGTGTCGGTCTCCAGAAGAGCGAGCCGGCATGGAGCAGGAGCTGAGCATCTCTCTAAACACCAGCACGTCCTTGTGCCCTCTCGCCAGGAGAGAATTGGAAATCCTGGGAGAGGCACATCCTGGGCAAAGGCTTCCACCTGCCAGCGCCTGCCTCCGCTGCTACTCTGGTCTGCCTGGGAGCCACAAATCAAGTGGAGGTAAAGGAAGGGGTCAGGCCTTTAGATGAGTTTAAAAACCATCATCATATTCACTCTTAATTACCATTTTTATTTAACATTAACTTTGGAGATATAGCCTCAGCTAGCAAGTCTAATGCGATTATAAAAATATTTTTCTTTATTAAAAAAAACTTTTTTGGAAGGACGTATATATATAAATGCTAATTTTAAGTCTTTTTAATAAAGTAAAGGTCAATAACAGGTAATAGCCTATTTACCATATCTCAAGGAAATTGACTCACAGGAAATCAAATTAACGTTAATCACTTGCAGCAAATGGTCTTTGATAAATATAACTACTCCCTCCTTGGGTTAGTGCAGCTAGGCAGGAGGAGTTCGAGCGCTCACCAGCACCAGCCCCTGCCGGGCTCTCAGGAGCTGCTGGGCCATCACCTTCCCTTCCCTTCGGCTCTTCAAACCTTCGGGTGTTGGTTTGGGGGCTGGACAGTTCTTTGCATGATTCAATGCGCTTGTGGTTCAGCTTTTCTCAACAATTGTTTTATCAGGGTATTTTGTAAAATACCTTTGCTCTGCCACTCTCCCCCGGGCCGTGGCAACACTGCACCCCGTGCTGTCATGCACCAGTGACTGCTGCTGCTCTGTTCACAGGGCAGGCTCACCTCCGTCAGGTTTGGAATTGAACAGTGCTGCTTCTTCCACAGGTGGTGCATTCAAATGAACAAGTAAATAGCTAGACATGCACTGCAAAGCCTTTGTTAGCAGCCAACGGGAGCTGGGGCAGGTGGGGACTGTGGACTGCCGAAGACTTCTGCATGCTGAGGACAAAGCACCCAACAATTTGCATTTGCTAATGGAGCTCCCCAAGTCCACACGCTCAGTGTTCGTGCTACAGCTCAGTGGAAACGGTATTTTATATTTTAAATGTAAAGTGTGTCAGCAGAGGCGTAGTAGGCAGCGTAATGAACACTCAGACGTCCCTCATCTTGATCACATCTCTGCTGGCCACAGGCAAGGACCTGTCACACACTGAGGAGGTTCATAGGAAGGCCATCAACAACCTTTGGGCCGCCCTTGCTTGCCCCACGCCCGCTGGGCATCATTAGTTGCTGCTTTGCAGCATTAAGGCTTTGGGTCCCTTTGAATTACAAGTGCAATTTGGCTTTTCCTTACGTTGGAGAGCAGCCACGTGGTTCCATGGCAAATAATAAACATCTTATCCTTGAGGCCTGATCACGCATCAGGGAGGTTTACTGCCAGCACCAGTACTAGGATCAAGCTGCTGATGGTATATTGTGTTTCACCCGGTAGCTACACCCTGAAGGGCCCTCGGAGCCTCCAGGAGCAGCGGCTCACACGAGGGGAGGAGACCCTCAGCCCTCCCACCCTGCCAGCTCAGCAGCACCATCCTGATTCCCTGCGCCCCGTTTGAGCTTTGGCACACAAGACCCCTGCAGCCGGAGCCCACCAGCCATGGGAGGTGCCAGACCCCGTGTGGAGCACAGCAGGACCAAGCAGGATTTGCAGCAGGTCCCAGGATTTGCCATCTCCTGTGCTCAGCACTGACCTGACTGAGGCATCCATCACTGGGACAGGAGAGACCCACACTGCTCCCCTGGGCACGGCTCGACAGCCACTTCTGGGACCAGCCCCAGCTCCGTCTGACCTGCTGTGCCGTGGGGACCGTGGGGACTGTGGGACCGTGGGACCGTGTCACGGCTGCTGCTGCGGGGTGTCCTGCAGGAGGAGCCTTGAGGAGCCCTGCAGCTGGGGAGACACGGAGCCTCTGGTTTGTGAGCAGCCGTGGCAGAGCCCCAAAGCCCCCCAGAGAACAGCAAACCTTCCCTGCTGGCAGCAGAGCAGGCGGCGAGCTCCGCTGTGCCCGGCTCCCCGGGTACCTGGGCTTGCAGGCCTCGAGGGGTGCTGAGCCCAGGGAGGGAAGAGCTGGGGAGCCCCTGGGGCACGGCAGGATTCGTGCCCCGCGGGGCTGGGTTGGTGGGGCAGCTCTGCTGGCTTGGCACCACGAGTGTGAGGCTGAGCAGCACCTGAGATCCTGCAGCAGTGTCCTGGCCACAGGCGAGCTGAGGGGCAATGCCACTGCCAGCCTCTGTGCCGTGCATTTCCAATGTGATAAAAGTAACTGTGAGTAACTGAAGATGTTTCCAGTTTGTGTTAATAAAATACATCTTTTTTAAAGAATGGAATTCTTCAAAGATTGGCAAATTTTATTTTATTTCATTAGCTTTAATGTCACTGCCATATGGACTGTGAAGAAAAGTGAACCATTAGATCAGAGGGACTGAGTTATCAGTGTGACACAGAAAGCTCTGATACAATTGTTAAGGATAAGCCCTGGAGTGATTTATTGCCTGCATTGTATTAGTCACAGAGGAGTTATGATATGCTCCCCATTCCTGTATCATATTAGGATTTTATTAGTCTAATATGACATGGTAATATAATATATGATTAGAATTCCCATCCAGTGATCCTTTCCTTGGTTGCAGGGGCTGGAGAAGGTTTTTTGTGCATCAGGTGCTGGGCCTTAGTGCCCAGAGAGGATGAGGGACGCCTGGGACGGCTCAGTAGCTGAACCAGTCTCCAGACCTTCCCAGGTGGGCCATGGGGCCCCTCACCTTCTGCGGGCACCCCCGGCCATCTGTGTGCCACCCAACTGAGTTACAAAGCCGATGGCTCCTTCCTGCAGCCGGGCCAGTGGAAGGATGGAGCTGGCGTTAGGATCCTTGCTGGGCCGAGCTGCAGGTCTGGGCTGCCCAGCAGTACCTGGGACACCGTCCCTGCCCGTGGAGGGCTGGCAGGGCTGTGCCAGGGCTGTGCCAGGGCTGTGCCAGGGCTCCGCAGTGCCAGCAGAGCCCCGGGGCTCGGGGCTCAGCCGCAGGCGCTAATTGCAGTGCCTCATCAGCCTCATCAGCGTGCCCCTGCTCCCCCTCTCCTCTCGGCCCCCTGCCCTCTGGAACCCAGCTTTCCCTGGAATCCTGCAGGCGATTTCCTCCTGAGCGTGCCCGTGGCTGTGCCCGTGGCTGTGCCCGTGCTGTGCCCGTGGCTGTGCCCGTGCTGTGCCCGCTCCGCCGCCGCTCGCTGCCTCCTCCGTGCCTCCAGCAGCAGCAGCAGGAGGAAGTTCAAGCATGTCAGAGCGCTGCTAGGTGCTAAATCCCCAAATCTATATCAAAGCCTATTTGATCATCTTCCTGTCATTGATATAATAAAAAGGATTAATTTATTGGAGACTGCCAAAACCCTCATGTGGCAACGAATTTAAGGATCGTGTTTATACAGGCTAATTAAACCCAATTACTTCCATTCCTCTCCGCGGTGCTAACGCGGGTGCTGAGAGGTGCCTAGAGCCCCTCGGTGAGCCCCTGTTTCTGGGGTGGGTGGGGACCCAGGGGTGCCCTCGATGAGCACATCTCCGGATCTCCGGGCCAGGGACCCCCGTGGGGGAACGGACCCTCTTCATCCTCCTCCTCCTCCTCCTCCTCCTCCTCCTCCTCCTCCTCCTCCTCCTTCTCCTTCTCCTTCTCCTTCTCCTTCTCCTTCTCCTTCTCCTTCTCCTTCTCCTTCTCCTTCTCCTTCTCCTTCTCCTTCTCCTTCTCCTTCTCCTTCTCCTTCTCCTTCTCCTTCTCCTTCTCCTTCTCCTTCTCCTTCTCCTTCTCCTTCTCCCTCTCCTCCTTCTCCTCCTCCTCCTCCCCCCAGTCCCCCACACGCTCAGCTCGCTGGGCTGCACCTCGGGGCAGGGGAATGTGGCACAGCCATCCCCGGCCTCGGGGGAGCCTTCGGGACTGCAGGCGGGGTCACTGCCCGTGGTGGGAGATCACCTATTAACGCCTGCCATTCCTATAATAAAAGGTTGCATTTTTGTGGTAAAATTCAGCATAAAGACCACGCGTCATTAAGTATGGAAATCCAGAATTTTATTAGCAATCTGCTAGATCTGAACTGACGCCAATTAAACAAAAAAGATATCATTTATAAAAAGGCAGAGTTCAAGTTGTATTAAATATGAAATGCAATTTTCTGCTGGTTGTGATTTATTACCATTGGTACATTGTTCAAAGAAGCATGTTATATTTCAATAGAGAAATATTGTTTATTCATTAATATTTTAAAACTTGCTTATTGCTGTGTATGACTCTCCTGCAGAATGAAACTTATGATTTAAAACATGAATTAATAAACACATTTGAAAGTGTTAGACAATATCATAACTGCTCATTTTTCATTTTACTGAGAGCATATTAAACTTTTATAATTCTGTACTATTATTTTCCAAATAAAGGTATGGGCTCTAAATTGCTAATTTCAGGTACAGATGAGAGGAAGCAATAACAGATGTTGGGAATCAGTCGCTATGTCCTGCCAATGCAGCTCAATACTTTTGTTCTCACATTATTCACAAATCTCCCGTTCAGCACCGCGGCCCCCTCAGAGAGCCTGGGGTGCCCCAAGTGCCTCTCCCGGTGGGACAGGAGGGTTCCAGGGACACCAGCCTGGAGAGAAGAGTCAGGTTCCAGGCGTGCTGGGCCAGGGAGGATGGGGAGGGCTCCAGGTACGCTGCAGCCGCAGGGCTGCGTCAGCTCTGAACGCCAGGAAACGTTTGATAGAGGCTGACATCCTAAATGAGGCCGAAAATATTTTATACAAAATGTGATAAAGCAGTAATGATCCCAGAGGCCTCAGGTTATCTTGGTGATTACCTGCACCCACCACTTGAATCAGCAGCATTAAGGGGTCCAGACCCGATACGCAGATCCCTCGG